TGTCACATCTCCTGGAGCTGTGGACAAAAGTAATTTGGTGGTTCTTTTCCTTTTCACTAAACTTACAAGATCTTGAAGAGATCAAATAACTTCAATACCAAATGGAAAAGTTGCACACTTGCTGAAGCGTCTGAGATCCTTGTAAGGATCTGCTGCTATGTGTGCCCATGTTGGGCTTCCCAAGTGGTGTGAGTGGTAAAGAACCCACCTACCAATGCAGGAGACATAAGAGATGTGGGTTTGATTCCTGGGTCGGGAAGATTTTCTGGACGAGAGCATGGCTAACCACTTCAGTACTCTTGCCTAGAGAATCCCATGGACCACGGAGCCCAGAAGGCTATAGTCCATAGGGTTGCAAAGAGTTGGACACGACTGAAGTGACTTAGCACACACACATGTGCCCATGTTTTCTTAAATGTCACTGCTGAATAAACCAAAATGGGCAATATTTTAGCTAGAAAATATCAGGAACACTGTGACATGAGTAACAGTTGCTACTGCAGGCTTTTCATAATTAAATGATATTTAATAATAAAGTACAGCAGAATCAAGTTTAATGATGAAGAAATTAGTTTTTAAACTTTAGTTAAGGCTTGATTGATAATATAAAAATGATAATTTTAAAAGCAAACTAAATTACATGATCTGAAACAATGGTTTACAAATATTTGAATTCTGTTTTAAAGCAGATGTTTACATTTGCTTTTCTATTTATTCTTTTCTTTCATAAATGCAGCCAAGTAATATTCCTATTTTCACAAAGATCTAAAGTAAAGACTGGGATCAAGGTTTCGGAATAAATATCACCTTACTGAACCTCTGCCCAGTGGTCTTTTTCTAAAGTGATATTCAGAATCTAATTCTTGCCTTTATTTTGGTCATATAACAAGAAATGATTTGGCTACATCAAAAGAGTTGGCTGACTCTTAACTACCTCACACCAGCTGGAAAGGTCATCATTAAAAAAAATCTACAAACAATAAATGCTAGGGAGGTGTGGAGAAAAGTGAACCCTCCTGCACTGTTGGTGGAAATATAAATTGGTGCAGCCACTAGGGACAAGAGAATAGAGGTTCCTTGAAAAATCAAAACTAGAACCACCATATGACCTAGCAATCTTGCTCCTGGGCATGTATCCAGACAAGACTATTAATATAATTCAAAAAAGACATATGCACCCCCATGTTCACCACAGCACTATTTACAATAGCCAAGAAGCCTGGAAGTAACCTGAATTCCCATCAACAGAGGAATGCATAAAGAAGATGTGGTATATATATACACATAATGGAATATTACTCAGCCATAAAAAAGCATGAAGTAATGACATCTGCAGCAGCATGGATGGACTGAGAGATTATCACACGAACTGAAGCAAATCCAAGAGAAAACTAGGTAAAAGGAAGAGAAAGACTGTGCAATCCAAAATATGACAGAAATGAAGCTATTTACAAACAGAAACGGAGCCACAGACAGAGGACAGACTTGCTGCTACCAGGGGGCGGGGCTGGGGGGACGGGTTAACAACTGGGATGGCAGAGGCCAGCTTCTACATGTAGGGTGGATAGACAGTAAGATCCACCATATAGCACAGGGAGCTGCAGTCAGCGTCCTGTGGAATTTTCCATAATGGAAAAGCATGTGAAAACAGAATATATATATATGTGTGTGTGTGTGTGTATATATATATATATATATATATATATATATATATATATTTCTGAGTCGCTTAACTGATTCCCATATCAAAATTCAATAATATTGAAAGAAATACAAAATCATCCAAGCACACATCAAAATAAAATATATATATATGTGTGTGTGTGTGTGTATATATATATATATATATATATATATATATATATATATTTCTGAGTCCCTTTGCTGTACAGCAGAAATTAACACAACACTGTGAATCAACCACACTCTAATAACATGGATTCAAAAAATAACAGTGAACTCTTCTCTGGTTATCGCTAGCAGTAGCCACATCACATCTATGGTAATACTGAAGGAACCTAAGGAAAATCTCTCAAAGAAGGGATGGTTATGACCAGTCTGACAGAAACAGAGAAATTCCAACGTGGACCTCAGCTTGCGGTCAATTCCTCAGCCAGAATATAGACCTCTCCCTTCCTGTCTCCTGGGCCATGCCGTCAGAGATCCGGGGATCCCTGGATGAAGCTCTAGCCGGGAGCAGGGCAGTGAGTCAAGGTCGCTCCTCAGATAAACCAAAACATGGCGAATCTGAAGAGGGCTGTCTTCTGGGAGAGTCCTACCAGTACCGTAAATGAACCTTTGAGAGGAAGAATGATTCCCTCAAGTAATTTTCACTTCAGGACTGACTTGTCTGGTCCATGTGCAGCTAATGAATTATTATGCTTCTGTCCTGTTATAAAGTGCAATAGACTCAGGAATATGCTTGCAAACAAGGTCTCTGTAGTTGTTCAGGTTTCATCGTGTGTGTGTGTGTCTGAACTGAGTGCAGCATCTTCAACACGTTGAGGAACCATGTGACAGGTTTGGATTAAGCCACTCTGAAAGCTCCTTTTCTCGCCATAAAGAAAAGCAGCAGATTTCTTTCTCTACTTGGTTTATTATATTAGTTTATAGAAATATCACCAGAAAACCATCATGTGGCATTTTCTTTTAGTTGATAAACTTTTCCTTTTTTGGTCAGAAGCCATGTGGCTGTGGAAGATATGATATCTCTAACAATAACTTCCTAAATTATTTCACTTTGCAACTAATGAATTATGTCTTTTATAACAGTCTAATTTTAAACATAGTAAATGCCGCATTAAAGTAACTAAGGAAGAACAGTGAGTCTTATTTTCCCTGTATACTCGATTTTCCACAAAGAACTGAAATTCAAATGAGATTGTCTTTGTTCAGAAAACAAATTGTGACACGAGCAGTCCAAAAATTTCATTCTGGCTTCACACCGAAATGAGTGCCTCACATAATTCTCCTGTTTAATCCAGAAACAAAAAGTTACTAATCTAAAAACAAAGGCTTGATGTCAGTCATTTATCTTATGGAAAAATATGTGTGGTCATGTATCATAATTAAACAGCATTAACACTGAAAAAGCTAAAACGTCCCACAAATGGCAAATGATAATCAAAGCAGAACATATTTTCTAACATAAAAATGTTATGTGAATCTTACATTTGACTATTAACCACTTGAATTGTACTTATCATTCAAGATATTGTCTTTTCTCTTTGGTGCTTGCTTTCTTTCTGATATCTCAACCACATTCTCCATAAGTATTTTCACTCTTGGTAAAATGGACTATTTGAAGGCAACAGTTAACTGATACAAGGAATTAGAAGGAAAATCTTTGAAGCCAAATGTATTGAATGTTTTTCTGTAACTCATAACCTGTGAGAAACTATTTATTACTGAGCAATACCAACTCTATATGTAAAATATCAAAATAGCAACCAAGATTTTAGTGAGACGGTGACTTTAAATTACAGAAAATATATGTTTTTCTTGCTCATTCTCTCTTATTCCTACAGGTAAAGTCCCATTAACAAAATAGGAATGTATGTAAATAAAACATTCATTTAATGCCACGGTCTTGCAATGACTGTTATTCTAAAGCAAGAATATTTAAGAGACTCCTAAGAAGGAAGATTCTTTTAAAAAATAACCATCACTCAGTGGAGTCCTCCTCAGTTATAGGTTTATTGTATAGCTGTCCTTCCTCCCTCTCACTGTTCTGTGAAGAAACGTAATTACCAAATAGCTTATAACATGCATAATTTATCTTATAATAGATGTTCATTCTCTCTATAAATACCTAATGAAGAAGCAAGTTACTGACCACTGCCCAGAAAACTCAACACAGGCTATCCAGTCTAATTTGAGATGATATTTTTCCCCTTCCAGCCTCCATTCTTGCTGTCCAATTACATGGCATTTTATGAAACAAAGGAATGGTACTGTTTTTGTTCTATTTGAAAATAAAGCTAGACATATGAAATGCAGAAGAAGGCAAATGATTGTGTGAAGGGAAATTCTGGATGACTAAGACACTTCTATCCTAGATGTGACTCAGTGGTAAAGAAGCCACCTGCCCATGCAGGAGATGCAGGTTCAATCCCTGGGTCAGGAAGATGCCCTGGAGTAGGAAACAACAACCCGCTCCAGTGTTCTTGCCTGGAAAATTCCATGGACAGAGAAGCCTGGTGGGCTACAGTTCATAGAGTTACAAAAGAGTGAGACATGACTTGGCAACTAAACAACAACAAGACACTTCTATCTTCCGTGCTTTCAGTTCAAAGCAATTGGCTTTGAACTGAAATTCAAATGATTTCAGTTTGAATTGATTCAGAATGATTGCTTGAACAGAGGGGTTAACAACTTGCCTCGGCTCCAATCTGCAGCCCTTTCCACATGAGTTTTCTTTACCTCTGAGTCTGGGAACCAGCATGAGGGGATTTCAGGAGCTCCCTACATCCGATCTGTGATACCGCACAGTCTTGGTTTTCCAAAACACTGCCTCTACCTTTTAAACATTCCCTTTATTCAACTCTTTCATACTGTTCTATTTTGAAAGTGCCACCCATTTTCTGTTGGATCCTATTACAATTTATTTAGTTCTACCTATGTATTTCCTCAGGTAAAATTCCACTGATAAAGTAGAATGACATATAAATAAAGCATTTATTGAGGCTTGGACACATCATGTGTGCCTTAGTGCTGTTATAGCACAAAAACATAGTAAATATTTGAATTGTTTTTGTATCAGTGGAATGATCTCACTAGACGTGTGCAGAAATAACTGCCACCTAAGCAAGTTTAGAAAGATGTCTGGCAGTCATTGATTTGGCAAGTCTACTCTAAGTGAGACAAATATTTTACAGAATTTCTATAGAATCATTGAACTGATATTATGGATAGCACAAAAACAAATTAGATATCCTAGTTCAGAATGTTTTCAAGAACACAGCTTGTTCTCACAGATAAGTATGAAAAGTGATCTTTACCTTCTCACCAGCTTCTCCTTTGCTGCCTTCAAAACCTTGCTCTCCCTGTAGAAGAGGAATACGATGTGTATAATAATAGTCACCCTACTTTTAACACATGTAGTTATTACAATAAATATAACAGTTTCTAAAATTGAAAAATCAATAACTGTATATATTAAAATGCTTCTAAAATATAAGCTCAAAACCAATATTAACATTACACAAAATTTTAATTACTCACTGAAGGAATAATTCTCCAGGGTACAAGGTCTAGTTTCACTACTTCCAATGCAATTTGATACCCATAAGCCTGAATTTCTCCATCCAGAAGACCTTCCTCATAGGCTTTTTGACAATTGAATGCATCAAATAGTGTGCCTGGAAAAGCCTGTCAGTCACTATCGCTATTACTACTCTCACTGTTTATTCCACGAGACCCAGCAGGAATGTCCTTCTCAAGCTGACTTCCACGAAGGCCGTTCCAGGGAGAGCTGTGTGATGAACGAGGCGAGAGTTCTGGCTCCAGCTCTGAGGCCAGCGCCAGGCTCTTTCCTGCCCAGATGGCCTGCCTCTCCAGCACAGAACAGGGTGGGCTCTCACTCACCATACTGACTCTGAGAGGTGGAAGCCCCCTGTTCTTCAACTAAAACCTCTCTGCTCTGACAAGCTTTTTTTCCCACTTAACTCTGTAGAGATATTTAGAGCACTGATGCTTCATTCATACAATCAATAACTAGTCACTGAATCCCAAACATATGCCAGGCACTCATGACAATATAGGTAGCAAGTAAGTGTTGGGGAAGGGTCATACACACCCCTCCGCCTAGAAGCAGCACTCAGTAAACATTTTCTGAGTGCACCAAGACAAGGGGATGAAGGGCTTTTATCTCCAGGTTTTTTCTGCAATTCTTCAAACAAAGTGGCACAATATAATTTACATTCATACATTAGAAAAGAAATGCAGCTTTTCCCTATGTCTATATATAGTCTATTATATATAAACTCATATGTATGTGTGTATATGGACACATATACACATGATTAAATAATTACTTCTGCTTCATCTGGTGTCCCAGACGGTAAAGAATCTGCCTGCAACGCAGGAGACCCAGGTTCAATTCCTGGGTAGGGAAGGTCCCTTGGAGAAGGAATGGCTACCTACTCCAGTATTCCTGCCTGGAGAATTCCATGGACAAAGGAGCCTGATGTGCCACCGTCCATGGGATCGCAAAGTGTCAGACACGACTTAGCCATTAACACTTTCACTTCCTGCTTCATCTATCCTCAAAAAAGGTACCAGGAAATAAAATAAGTTAGATTTGGGTACATTTGCCACTGAATGTGTGGTCTATCTTTTTTCTACCATTTTTCCCAAAATATAGACTTTAACTTGATCTGTTGATTCAAGCTGACACGAAGCTGCTAAATGGCCCAGTACCTCAGCCACAATGCCAGCATGAGCAGCTACCACGAACAACTGCTGGAAAGTCCAAAACTGTTTCCCAGCAGATAAATCTACACATCCCTTGGCTGGCAACTCGACTCACAGATGCAGCGCGTGCCGTATTACTGGGTTTTGTTTAGAACTGCTGGAAGAAATGCAAAGGCTTGCCATTTCTTCTCTGCCAAATCAATCTTGGTATTTTCATCAAGCGAGTAAAGGAAGATTTTTTCGAAAGCTATAACTATAGACAACTGCCTATCTTTTTATGGTAATTTTTAGCTGCAGAGCAAAACCTAGATGCTATAGTAACTTCTGACATCGGTTGCTAAAGTCTGTGAAACATCTCCAGAGCGTAGAAATGACATGACTGGTGGGCACCTAATATTGCATCAATAATGCTCTCCCCTGTGGTGGGTTATCTGGGTGATATTATGACAGATGGCCCCACCCAAAGTGGCCCCTCATCTCTTCAGAAAACTGGAATAAGCCAGTCTTCGTGTTTCCAATAATGCTGGTCACATCCAATCATATTTCTCCCCAGGAGAAGAAATCAGCCGTTGGACAGTAAAGGATGAAATGAAATTCACCTTGGTGAAGAGAAAGATTCTAGGCCCAAAGAATCTGGCCAATGCAAAAATCCTTATTATTTACAAATTTATCATTCTGAAACATTTTTTGAGGAGATCAGTTGCAACATCTTTGCAATATTTAATATTTTATGTCATTGTAACTATTACAACATTTAGCTCAATCTGGGAAATAACAAAAAAGTAACCACAAATAGTCAAAAGCAGTCAATCCTATTCTAGTCTTCATTGAGCTTTCCCTTGGGGCTCAGCGGTAAAGAATCCACCTGCCAATCAATGCAGGATACATGAATTCAATCCCTGCGTCAGGAAGATCCCCTGGAGAAGGAAATGGCAACCCACTTCACTATCCTTGCCTGGGAAATCCCATGAACAAAGGAGCTTGGCAGGCTACAGTCCATGGGGTCGCCAAAGAGTCAGACATGACTAAGTGACTAAATACCACCAAAATTTAAACTCTGGGTGAAAACATTCCCAGAGCAGCTGTCACACTCCCAGGCCTCAGAAAGCACCACTACCCATTCTCCAGAGAAGCGTGTGGACAAGCCCCTCTGGTAAAGCTCTCCCCTAGAGTAGCTCCTCTGAGAAGGGATCGCCACCATGGGTTTCTTTGGGAAGAAAGATCAAGTGGTGGTCAAGTCAGGGGACTGATTCAGTCTCACCAGATTTCCTTCACTATATTATGTGCAACTTCAACTTTTGAGACATTAAAGTTCTTAACTAACATGAAACATTAAAAAAAACCTGTTTACCTTTTGACCAGGTAAGCCTGGGGTGCCACGTAAACCATTTTCACCCTAAAAGAAACACACAGAATAAATTTCCTTAGTCACAAAACACAAACAAATGAAGAAATTCTGCATTTCTAACCACCTGTTCTAGAGTCGTGAGGAAAGGCATTCTAATGCTGAATGTTCGGTGAGCACAGGGGTTTTGCATCCACCCCTCAGCTGCCAACCCCAGGACTAGTTCTTTCATTTAAAAAATAAGAACACAGAGGCTCTGACAGGTTTCACCTAACTAGGAGCATCACCTAAGATTTGAACGTAGGTCTCTCTGATTCAACAGCCCATGGATTCCCATATGCTACTTAGTGTCCTTCATTTTATTTTCTCTTTCAAATCTCTGGGCATAATGTTCTAGTCTGACACAGGTTTTCTATGGGCCAAGTACTGTTCTGACAACAAATTGTTATGACCATCTTCTTACAGATGATTATACAATCAGGAGATAGAACTGGAATTAGAGTTCACATAATTCATTTCTGTGCATCTAACCACCCCTCTGCACTGTCTCATGAAAAAGATTTTGTTCTGGTGATCTCTTATCTAAAAACTTATGTGTGTGTATATATGTGTGTATGTGTGTGTGCACGTTTGTGTACATATATGTTTGTGTATATATATATAGCACCACCGACTCAATGGACACGAATTTGAGGAAACTCCGGGAGATAGCAGAGGTCAGATGGCGTGCTCCGGTCCATGGGGTCACAAAGAGTCGGATACAACTGAGTGACTTAATAACAACAGCAACAACTATACACACACACACACACACACATAAAGAGCATATACTTTCTTGCTTATTCCTGTCGATTGTCTTTAGATCAGTTTTAAAGACATGCCTATTGCTGTTTTACTGGAAACAGTTACTTGGGAGAATTTTCAGTTCTTTTCAGTCCATCTGGTTCCCGTGCTGGGTATGAAGGTTTTCAGCAGAGGCCTATCGGTTTCCATTGCTGGAATTCATGGGCCATCTCTTTGACAAGCCTGTTTTGCACACAGCACACAAGCTAGAATGAGATACCCCTGGGAGGATGTGCACATTCCCAGTGGAGCCTCAGGAGTTCAGCTGCTTCAAGGAAGTGACTTGGGCTCCCAAGTTTCCAGGTTTAGAAAGCTCAAAAGAAACTAGCAATTCCACTGACCTCTTTATTTCAAGTGAACATTTTTTAAGACAACAGCTTTTTAAAGTACTAACTAGAAGGAAGTTAGATATCACTTAGAATTTTTAAAATAAAATTCCAATATAAGAAGAAAAAAATAATGTCTTCAAATTTTAAAATAGCAAGAATATAATCTGTTTAAGCCTAAAATGATCTTTATCATTTCATCAGTTAGTACATTTCTGGTTCCATCCTTTTGAGCAGCAGCCTACTGCTCTATGTGTGCTCAGCCTCTAAGTCGTGTCCAGTACTTTGTGGCCCCGCGGACTGTAGCCCGCCAGGCTCCTCTGTCCACGGGATTTTCCAGGCAAGAATACAGAGTGGGTTGCCATTTCCTCCTGCAGGGGATCTCCCCAACTCAGGGACCGAACCCACACCTCCTGCATTGGCAGGCAGATTCCTGAGCCACCTGGGATGCCCCATACTGCTGTATACATGCGCATAATTTTAAAGATGAAAGCTTTTCTGCAGTTAAATTAAGTTATCTATGTTGCACAGTAAAACTGCTATTATCACAGAATATACTAGACATCAAAGGTAAAACTTTGTGGCTAAGTTTAAGATGTGTTGAAGCAGCAATAAAATACAATGTACTTACCTATGTAACAAATATATTTCTATTATTTAAAAAAGTATATAGTTTTAGACCTCAGGCATCCCACAACTACATTAGAAACTTCCCATTTTGTTTAATAAAGTGCTAGTCAAAGCACATTAAGATTTGACCCCAGGGTGCATGCTATGGAAACAGCCTCTGTTACTCATCACAGAAGTATGCCCATTTGTCCATGAGGAACAGAATTATTTTCGTTGGTTGGTTCAACATAACGTTTTATATCATATTACAAGTTATACATGATGACAAGATATGGTGTGTAATCCAGTAAAGTACACTGACACAGTGCACATTGCCAAAAATGCTTTCTGGAAAAAAGAGAGTAGTGTCAGAAGCTCCCTGTTTTCTTTGCTCATGGTTCACTCTTATATGCCATGTGCTATGAGAACTGGCACCTAAAGACCCACCTCTGGGGTGATGTCAGGTTAGGGTCATACCTGGATGCATTGGCACCTGGGTACCAAAAGTCCTTAAAAGGAAGAATGCTTCTCTTTTTGATGGATGCTGGTCTTTTGACTGTTATAATGAAAATGTTTTCCTATGGCCAGTGTTAATTTGTCTCTGCTCTTTCCTGACTCAAAATTCAAAAATTTTTTTTGTAAACATTATTCTAAACACCATGATACCCCAATCAACACCACTGATCACTCTCCCAGGAAATGAATTGGCTTCATGTGACACAATAACATGTGAAAGATTTTGAGATACCAGGAAACTTTTGATGCTTTAAGTGTGCAACTCTGGTATTCAGAAACATATTCATTTTCTTCTCACAGATTTTCTCAAAGTTCCTAGAGAGGTCTGACATAGAAACGTATGATTATTTAAAATCATTTGGCATTTTTCCAGTCCCTGAGGGACAAGTTAGCATATTTGTTTTTGACTCTATCTCAAAATAATATTAAGTAGCATAATAACTGGCCTTCCCTGGTGGCCCAGCTGGTAAAGAATCTGCCTGCAACGCAGGAGACCCCATGTGATTCCTGGGTCGGGAAGATTTCTCTGGAGGAGGGATAGGCTGCCCACTCCACTGTTCTTGGGCTTCCCTGAAGGCTCAGAAAGTAAAAGAATCCGCCTGTAATGTGGGAGACCTCGGTTCGATCCCTGGGTTGGGAAGATCTCCTGGAGGATTGCATGGCACACGGCAACCCACTCCAGTATTCCTGCCTGGAGAATCCCCATGGACAGAGGTGCCTGGCGGGCTACAGTCCACGGGGTGGCAAAGAGTCAGCCACGATTGAGTGACTAAGCACCCCATAGCATAACAGCTGAAGGAAATAGTAGTCTTAAAGAGCAAAATTTTGTTTAAGAGATTAACAGACTATGTTTATCCTGTCAAGACTTTATCTAAAACCTAATTTGTGTCAACAGAATGAGCCTTCCTAACTCTGAATCAGTTTCAAAACTCTGGTGCCCATCCAGTGTGGGATCGAATTGAATTCTATTCAATGAATGCCTGCCTGAAATTACTGGAGGAGCTGACATTAGCTGTTTTTTTCTAAACTCTTGCTGTCCCTTGGTGCTCCCAGTCTCAGCACAGGAAGAAATAAGAAGCTTCTTTAGCTTCCCATCAGCATTTTAGCCCATTATTGAAAGAAAACTCCAATCAATGCTTCTTGTCTCTACTGTAATGTTCAAAGCTTGTTTCTGTGGCATGTACTTTCTACTGCAGGTTTTTCCATCAAAGGGACTATGCTCCTTTCTTATCATGAATTCAAGCTCCAAATGGGCCACAGATGAATATGAGTAATAGAAAGCAGGGGGAAAAAAATCTAACATTGTTGCTGAGAGTAATAACTGAGAGTTATTACTGCAATACAGTGTGTCTTCAACTTCACAGTTCAGTTCAGTTCAGTTGCTCAGTCGTGTCGGACTCTTTGCGACCCCATGGGCTGCAGCATACCAGGCCTCCCTGTCCATCACCAACTCCCGGAGTTTACCCAAACTCATGTCCATTGAGTCAGTGATGCCATCCAACCACATCCTCTGTCAGCCCTTTCTCCTCCCGCCTTCAATCTTTCCCAGCACCAGGGTCTTTTCAAATGAGTCAGTTCTTCGCATCAGGTGGACAAAGTATTGGAGTTTCAGCTTCAGCATCAGTCCTTCCAATGAATATTCCAGACTGATTTCATTTAGGATGAACAGGTTTGACCTTCTTGCTGTCCAAGGGACTCTCAAGAGTCTTCTCCAATGCCACACTTCAAAACATCAGTTCTTCAGTGTCCAACTCTTACATCCATACATGACTACTGGAAAAACCATAGCTTTGACTAGATAGAACTTTGTTGACAAAGACAAAGTAATGTCTTTGCTTTTTAATATGCTGTCCAGGTTGGTCATAACTTTTCTTCCAAGGAGCAAGCATCTTTGAATCTCATGGCTGCAGTCATCATTTGCAGAGATTTTGGAGCCCAAAAAAATTAAGTCTGTCACTGTTTCCCCATCTGTTTGCCATGGAGTGATGGGACCGGATGCCATGATCTTAGTTTTCTGAATGTTGAGCTTTAAGCCAACTTTTTCACTTTCAACTTTCACATTCATCAAGAGCCTCTTTAGTTCTTCTTCACTTTCTGCCATAAGGGTAGTATCATCTGCATATCTGAGGTTATTGATATTTCTCCTGGCAATCTTGATTCCAGCTTGTGCTTCATCCAGCCCAGTGTTTCTCATGATGTGCTCTGCATATAAGTTAAATAAGCACAGTGAAAATATACAGCCTTGATGTACTCCTTCCCCAATTTGGAACCAGTCTGTTGTTCCATGTCCAGTTCTAACTGTTACTTCTTGACCTGAATGCAGATTTCTCAGGAGGCAGGTCAGGTGGTCTGGTATCCCGTCTCTTGAAGAATTTTCCACAGTTTGTTGTGGTCCACACAGTCAAAGGCTTTGGCGTAGTCAATAAAGCAGAAATAGATGTTTTTTCTGGAACTCTCTTGCTTTTTCGATGATCCAACAGATGTTGGCAATTTGATTTCTGGTTCTTCTGCCTTTTCTAAATCCAGCTTGAACATCTGGAAGTTCACGGTTCACGTACAGTTGAAGCCTGGTTTGGAGGATTTTGAGCATTACTTTGCTAGCGTGTGAGATGAGTGCAATTGTGCAGTAGTTTGAGCACTCTTTGGCATTGCCTTTCTTTGGGAGTGGAATGAAAACTGACCTTTCTAGTCCTGTGGCCACTGCTGAGTTTTCCAAATTTGCTGGCATAGTGAGTGCAGCACTTTCACAGCATCATCTTTCAGGATTTGAAATAGCTCAACTGGAATTCCATCACCTCCACTAGCTTTGTTTGTAATGACGCTTCTTAAGGCCCACTTCACTTCGCAGAGCAATCTAAAAAACCCTTTCCAGAATTCAAAGTAACCTCATCAGGAAAAAAATTAAAAAACTGAAGTGTGGTTTAGGCATAGCTGGTGGCTTTCTGAAAAACTGATCAAAGGATTTCATTTCATAGCCTTTTTATCACTGCCCATTTCCTGGAAGTAAGTGCAGCTAGACATACAAAATAAATCATCAGTTTTCCTGATTTCTTTGACACTGGAATCAATGTCTTTTCTTATGGAGGAAATCCATGTTGTCTGAAAGACAATAAAGAATCACACTTCCTAGGATTTGGTTTGCAAACCTAGGACCAAGCAGACCAAGCCAAGATTAAGCAAATGAAGCAGGCAAACGAGAATTTACTAATAACTAGACCTAAGCCCAGAAAATACAGATTTATATACTACCTTGTGGTGATGTTTTTCCTTAAAAATTAAGCATTCAATCTTCGATTAAGAGTCTGAGATCCTATTATAACACTGTTTCCATATTTTACACTGTCATTGGACAGATCATTTTACTTAGAGCAAGTCTTCCAGGAACATACTCTTTTGTTTGAACTTGATGTACACTTGGAAGTGTATCAATATTTTTCCACTAATTAATTCATATTCATTAATAGAAAATTTACTTAAATTGAGTGTTGAGTTTTTTCACTGGAACAAATATCTGAAGTGAAATGCCAGAATCCTAGCATGAAAACTAATAAAGGAGGAAGCGAAAAGTAAATCTGATTTTGTGTATCGCTAACCTGACCTCTGAATTTCCGACAACAGTCCTGCTGTATTTAGACCATAATCTTTTGTGACTGAATTTTTATATGGTTCTTACATTCCTGCCACTCAACTAAATATTTTAGGAAATAAAACATACACCCCCTATGTTTTTTTCAGATATTTCATCCAATCAGAGTTCTTTTATTTCAGGGAGGAGTATTTTTTCCTCCTATGTGTAAAGACTTCATTTCAAAAGCTAAATTGTTAAATTAAAAAAGCTATATACTGCATAGGATTGACAACTTCAAGCTTTTTTAATTCCTGTATTTGCTGGCTAACACATGGGGACATATTCACATGAATGCTCAGGATAAGGCAAATTTAAAACATTCTTAATAAAAAAAATGAATGAGACCCTATTATCACTTATGTTTGTGAATCTTTCAAAGAAGACAAAGCCAGCCCACCAAAGGTAACACATGGTCAATACATGTCCTAATCACAGTGATATAAATGTGGGGAGTTAGGAACAGATGAACTCAACATCTACTGTAAGTAGAAACTTTTAACCTGAGTCTATGTGTGTGCACAGTATACGCAGAGGAACACACTAGAAAACAAGCAGGGAGAGTATTCTTAAACACAGGGTCAGGGGTAAATTTATACATTTGTATCCACCAGCTTCACCAAAGAATATTAAGGTATTGACCCTACTGAAAGCTCTTTAAAGTCAGGCATGTTCACGGTTTAATTTCTATCCTGGAGTACAAAACAACACAATTTGATGTATGGATACTGAAACAATGTCTTCTGAACCCAAAATTCCTGCCCACTTGTCTTATATCACACAGGACAAATATCATATGGGTCTTATACATGACATCCCTTTCTGTCACCATCAAGCTTATTCAGCAAACCAATCATTTTTCAAATGATTGTTTGGAGTCCTTTAATATCATAGTAATTGTCCCCTGGGCACACACTCTCCTGTAAAATGTGACATTGAGAACTCAGCACATTATTTATTCCACACATGATCTCAGTGCACAGTGTAGAGATTAGGACTGACACACAGAACCACATGCAATCTTGTTCTGGATATTACACTATACTTGCATTAGTATGACTTGCTTTTTCAAGGCTAAATTGCTTGTATATACACTAAATTTGTAGTAAACTTAAAGTGCTAAGTTCTCCTTTCAAACAGGATATTTTTACAATCCTTTTTCAAATTACTGGAGTGAAAATTACACTGAAAAAACAAAAAAGAAAGAAAGTGAAAGTCGCTCAGTCAATTCAACTGTTTGCGACCCCATGGACTGTAGCCCACCAGGCTTATTTGTCCGTGGCACTCTCCTGGCAAGAATACTGGAGTGGGGAGCCAGCCATTCCCTTCTCCAGGGGATCTTCCTGACCAAAAGATCCCAAGTCTTCTGCGTTGCAGCCGGACTCTGTGCCATCTAAGCCACATTATTCAAATAAAAAACAAAAAAAAATTGAAATAGTTTGGGGAAGTAAACATCTCTTTCCATTTATAGCCAAGTTAGGGAGTTGAATTTTGGCCAAGGTTGCTGACCTCACTGCAAAATCTGGGCTCCAGATTTGTCATCAGAATGGCTTTCTTAAAGTGGATCTGTTAAGAATGAGTGTGTGGATATTTCACTTTCTTTTGAGAGCAGCTGGAAGGTAGCCTTGAAGTGATCTTGAAGTATCACGAAAGTACCAGGGAAACAGAAGACAACTGAAGTGAATCATCCACTGAAATGTCTGGAGAGGAGCAGCGGACATCTGAATCAAGCATTCTAACACGTGGGAGACAACGGAAGACATAACGAGGGGGATGGTATCATCAGTAAGCTCCTGTTGGGGACAGTAAGACACCCATAACTGCAAACTACTTCCAGT